GATAACTTATATAGTATATATTTCGAAAATCATCTAATTTGTCCATGAATTGACCCTCAAATCAAGGATTTACCATATCATAGCTTTGGGGCTCAAAACCCCAATTTCTACAATTCCAACACGGATAAAAATAATTACCAATGAAAATAATCATGAAAAAATATCAAAATAAAGGTCAGATATTTACCTCCTTGTTGAGATAAGAACAACGCCGCAAAAATCACCTGAAATGGAGCTCTAGATCTCAAGATATACTCAAAATAATAAAATGCTCGGTCTATCCATTTAAGACATTGTCCAGGTGATTTTTGTTCTTCGCCTTCGCGGGGCACCTTCGCGTTTGCGGAAAGAAAGTTTTCATGTTAACTAATAAACCCCAGAAATACTTCTTCGCGTTCGCGGAACCTCTCTCGTGTTCGCAAAGAACAAAGATTCGCACTAGAAACCAACAATCTTTTCCAGCACGAAAATGGGCATAACTCTCTTATACGACATCGAAATTCGATAATTCTTATTTCTATGACTCCATAATTACGATACGGATTAGTGGTTCAACCAAATCAAAAATCAAAGGTCTTTTGCTTAATATACTATCCTTTATACCCAAGAAAATGATGCCGAAACATCAAATAAGAGTGCGACACAACCCAAACAAATCCGAAACACATCCGATGCTCCCGAGACCCTATCCAATCACACAAACCAGCCCTTAAATATAACACAAACCTAATCAAGGCCTCAAATCACACCAAACAACATCAAAACCATGAATCGCACATCAATTTAAGCTCAATGAACTAATGAACTTTGAAACTTCTAAAACTCATGCCGAGCCATACGAAATCAACCCGGAATGACCTTAAATTTTGCATGCAAGTCCCAAATGACACAACGGACCTATATCAATTTCCAAAATCATAATCCGGATCCGATATCAACAAAGTCAACTATCGGTCAAACCTATCAACTTTCTAAACCTTCAATATTTCAACTTTTGCTAAAAATTATTAAATCAACCTACAGACTTCTAAATCCAAATTCGGACATGCACCTAAGTTCAAAATCATCATGCAGTCCTAACGGAATTGTCTAAACTCCTATGCGAGGTCACTGACAAAATGGAATAAAAAATCAAGACCTGGCTCAAGGCTAACCCCTCCACATTCAGGGTCAGGAACGGGAAAAGGAGAATGAGTAGGACAGGCTCGAGGTCAATTCTTTCTTTTAGGAGAGATCCCACCCCCTTCTTTAGCGCTTGTTCGTTCTATAAGACTTCCTTCTCGTTCTCGGTGAAGGAATCGGAGCTGCTATAGAATCAGCATCTTACTCTTTAACGGCAAGCTCAGCAACGAGAAGTTTTNCAAAATGGAATAAAAAATAAAGACCTGGCTCAAGGCTAACCCCTCCACACTCAGGGTCAGGAACGGGAAAAGGAGAATGAGTAGGACAGGCTCGAGGTCAATTCTTTCTTTTAGGAGAGATCCCACCCCCTTCTTTAGCGCTTGTTCGTTCTATAAGACTTCCTTCTCGTTCTCGGTGAAGACTCAAAATCCAAACCTTGGTCTACTCTTCCAACTTAAAGCTTCCGAATTGAGAATTATTCATCCAAACCAACTCTGATCTTCCCGAAAATCTAATCCGACTACAAGTGCAAGTCATAATACATGAAGTGAAGCTACTCAAGGTCTCAAACCGCCGAACGACATGCTAGAGCTTAAAACGACCGGTCGTATCGTTACAACATATCCCCAAAATTAGGTAGTACAGATATCGCGAGCTCTAACTAAATACACGAGAACAATTCAAAATGCAGTACTGTTTGAAAATAAATTGCAACGCTGACGTAACGGTGGAAAATAATCAAAGCAAACTTTGCTAAAGCATAGATGTTCATGAAGAAGCATATGCCTGATCTGATGAGGAGTAATTTAAACTTGGTTGCGATTGTTTGTTAGACATGCGACGGTTGGACTTGTGAAGTTTAGACTTGATTTGAATGATTTTGAGTTTTTTAGACTTGATTTAAATGAGTTTGAATATTTAGATTGTTTAATACTTTAATTATTCAAATTCTATGAGGTTTTGATTTGTTAGAATTGATGTTTAGTTGGACTTTTAGGTTGTGCTTTTCTTTTTTATTTATTTAACATGTGGTGTAACTACTAACATATCAGATTTTTGCCCAAAAAGTAATTAATTTTTTGACTATGGTAGTAAAAAAATAATAAAAAATGTACTATTTTTTCTTCTGAAATGCTAATTTTCGAATATTGTAGCCAGAAGATTGAATGCATATTTTCATAAAATTGATAATTACCAACCATTATCATCGAAACTGAATAAATAAATATTTTTTATTTAAATCTTCTGACAACTATAGTCGAAAATATATTAAATAATTATTAAAATATTCCAATTATAGTGGTCAACATATATATATATATATTTCGACTACAGTTATAAAATAATATGATTATTTTTAGGCCGTTTGACAATGTACATTCTTTTACACTATTGTTGGAAAACTTTCGACTGTAGTAGCAAAAAAAAAAGTTAAAAACTGTTTTCCGACGTTCATAATTCTGAATACTCGTTTCGGCGGTTTTGGTGGTCGAAAAATTATAATATTCTATCTGTTTCAATTTATATGAACTTATTTTCTTTTTAGTCTGTACTAAAAAGAATGACTCCATTTTATATTTGAAAATTATTTATCTTTATGCAATGATTTATAGTCATACAAAATATAAGTGTCTCATTTTAAACCATAAATTCAAAAGTCATTCTCTTTTTTCGTAAATTCTGTGCCCAATCAAATAGGTTCAGATAAATTGAAATGAATGATCTATTTTTGTATTATAAGTTTTACATATTAACCCCAAGAAAATACACAATTGGAAAAAATAGAGATTATCTCTAAGAGAAAAAGTACAATTGGAATAAAATATGCAATGTATATAAAGGTGAAATAAAATATATAAATGGAGCAAATAGCATTTGATTATGTGGCAATTATAATTGAAAAGTATCCAATTTGGAACCTTATTTCTTTATTTTTCTTTTCTCCCTCTTGCCTAAAAGAGAATGTATTCTTGTTTTTTGCCATATTAGTGTCCAGGGAGTCGAGGCTATCAAATTGCAAAGTTCAAGGAATAATTATGCCAACGTAAAGTTCAGATGTGAACTAAATAAAATTGTTCAAGTTTATGGACTCACAATCTGCCGTATAAGACGTAAGACGTACTATTGGGCATTAAATACGGAAAACGTTAAGGAATTTGTATTGAATCAAATATGATTACTGATTGTAACGTTATATTAAATGTCATTAAATGCCATTGATTGACAATAATGGCTCAATTATGGTAGAGACAAAACGTATTACCTAGAAATAGCTATAAAAGGAGAAAACTGATCATTTGTAAGGACACAAAATACTATTGAAATACATTGATTTACTTTGCATTCAGTTATTATTTCTCAATTATTCCTATTTCAATTTGATTAACAGTAACCCGAGTTCTTCTAATATAAGCTTTGACCAAAGTCCTTATTTTTGGTTAAACAAATTGGTTCTGCCGTCGGGGATCTGATAATCGTTTACTTTCTTAATCAATTCTTTCATAAAAAAACTTACCATGTCGAATAACAACGACAACAACCAACAAGATCCTCAACATCAGGAGAATGATGCGGGTAACAGGACCCCACTTCCCTCACCGCGTGATTCACAACGTCAGTCACGAGAAGGAACTCCGGATGGCTCTGAAACAAATAGTGGGGTTGCAAATCAAAACGGATTCGAGGCAAATCAAAATGCTGGAGTTGCGAACGAACAAGCACTCGATGATGCCTTAAAAAATCTCATTGCTCAACAAGGCAGCAATGCTCTCCGAGCTTTTACCAGCCAATTGCCAGTTGCACCATCAACACCAACTCCGAATCAGAATACTTTGGAAAACCCACGTCCTGGGCTCGTTAACTCAGGCACTGGTGGAACTCCAAGCAAATCTCGCGATGGTGAACCAGGTAATTTAGTTCTAACCTTACAGAAGCGGCTCAAGGAACAAAGAGATCACATAGAGCAGATACCTGGAGTACCACCTGTAATCAAAGGAATAGACATGGATAAATACTCACAACAACCGTGGAAGCCTAGTGCTGCTCCGGCGCCAATCCCGAAGAAGTTTCACATGCCTGACATTCCAAAGTATGATGGCACAACAGATCTACGAGACCATGTGACTGCATTCACAACTGGTGTGAAAGGCAACGATTTAACAAAATAAGAAATCGAATCCGTTTTGGTTAAGAAATTTGGTGAAACACTCACCAAGGGAGCATTGACAAGGTATTCTCTTTTACCCAAAAATTCTATAAATTCTTTTGCTGAGCTTGCAGATTCATTTATCAAAGCACATTCGGGAGCTCAAAAAGATGAAAAAAGAATGGAAGATATTTTCAAAATCAAGAAAGGAGATTCAAAGTTACTTAGAGACTTCGTGGATAGATTCCAGCGCGAAAGAATGACGTTACCACACGTACCTGATAACTGGGCAGCTATGGCTTTCACCAGGAATTTGAATGAGAAAAGCTCAGAAGCCACGAGACGACTCAAGGAAAGTCTACGTGAATTCCCAGCAACAACCTGTAATGACGTTTACAACTGACACAGCACGAAGCTAAGGATAGAAGAATATACTATCTCCCGATCCCAAAAAGAGGAGAAAGTAAGTTCGAGACGAGCAGAAACCGAAAAAAGGTCCGGTAAAAATAGATACGAACCATACATGGGCCCAGCAGGAAAAGACTCACGATCAAAGAAGGATAATTCAAGGTATGATCATAGATCAAGGAATAGAGAGTCGGGTTCATCATCAAGGTTTGGAAACGATCGAAACACACGAGAGACGTAAGATGATGATAGGAACTTAAAGGCAAGATTTGGCGGATACAATTTTAATGTCAGCACTTCAGGGTTAGTAGCCGTATTAAGAAGCATGGGTGACAAAGTGAGATGGCCAAAAGAAATGAGATCAAATCCAAATAGACGTAATCCTGATCACTGGTGCGAATTTCACAACGATCATGGTCATAAAACAGCAGATTGTAGATTGCTACAAGGAGAAGTCGATCATCTATTAAAGAAAGGGTATCTCATCGAATTATTTAGTGAAAAAGGTAAGCAAGCATACATGAAAATCAGGCAGGAGCCCCCTAAACCTCCTTCTCCCAAAAGGACCGTTAATGTTATAAGCGGGGGCGAAGAAATCAACGGCGTGACATATACAGCGGCCAATAAAGTTTCTAAAGTTACAATTACCCACGGGAAGCGGGTCCGACATGTTCTGGAGCAAGAAAGTATAACATTTGATGATGCAGATGTGGATGGCGTGTTAACTCCACATAACGATGCACTGGTAATATCTCTACTTGTACATGATACTAATATGAAACGAGTTTTGATTGATCCAGGTAGTTCCGTGAACACTATTTTGCTAAGAGTACTAAATGAGATGCAAGCTGAAGATAAGCTAGTACCAAAGGCACATACCTTGTCTAGATTTGACAATTCAAGCATTGTGACAAAAGGGGAGGTAGCATTTACCACATTCGTAGAACAGGTTGTCAAAGATACGAAATTTCATGTGACAGAAATGGAAATGACTTACAATATGATTCTCGGGAGACCATGGATCCATGAGATGGATGCCGTTCCGTCTACCTTACATCAGGTTATTAAATTTCCATCACCATGGGGAGTACGACAAATCCGTGGGGATTAACAAACATCCAGGAGCAACAACTCTGTAGCAAATTCAAGTACGAAAAACGAAGAAAAATAGCAATTACAGAAATCCAGTTGGGGATATCACGACACAAGCCTCAACTGAACAAGGGCGATAAATATGGACTTAAAACCCGATTCCATTCAAGAACCAAAAGAAAATGAAAATATCAAAATGACGATTGAAGAACTGGAGGCTGTAGAGTTATTTGCACAATGGCCTGAAAGGAAAGTCTACATCGGGGCCAACTTAAGCCACGACATGAAAGGTAAGTTGATTGAATTTTTAAAAAGTAATCTAGATTGTTTTGCCTGGTCCTACTCTGATATGACAGGAATACCCCCGGAAGTAATGACTCACAAGTTAAATGAAGACCCGTCGTATCCACCTATCAAACAAAAGAAGAGAAAGTAGGGGACTTTCAAAAATTAGATGAATCAAGATGAGGTTCAAAAACTATTAAAAATTGGGTCTATCCGCGAGGTAAAGTATCCTAATTGGTTAGCCAACACTGTAGTAGTACCGAAAAAGAATGGCAAATGGCGAGTTTGTGTAGATTATAATGACCTTAACAAAGCATGTCCTAAAGATTCTTTTCCATTACCACATATAGATCAACTGATTGATGCTACTGCAGGACATGAATTGTTAAGTTTTTTAGATGTGTATTCAGGGTACAATTAGATCAAAATGGATCCCCTAGATGAAGAAAAAACTTTATTTATAACAGACAGGGGGACTTACTGTTATAAAGTAATACCCTTTGGTCTCAAAAATGCTGGTGCCACATATCAAAGATTGGTGACCAAAATGTTCCAAGAACATTTAGGAAAAACTATGGAAGTCTACATAGATGATATGCTTGTCAAATCTCAACAATCAGAAGATCATATATAGCATTTGACTGATACATTTCAGATCTTACAAAAATTCAATATGAAGCTAAATCCCGAGAAATGTGCATTCGGCATTTCATCAGGTAAGGCTTTGGGTTTTCTTGTTTCTAACCGTGGTATTGAAGTAAATCCCGTACAGATTAAAGCCATTGAAGAAATTCCTGACATGCTTACAAATAAGAAAAAGGTGCAGAGACTAACGGGAAGAATTGCAGCCTTGGGAAGATTTATTTCCAAGTCATCAGAAAAATATTTTAAATTCTTTTTGGCTCTTAAAAAGCAAGACCAGTTTGAATGGTCCGAAGAATGTCAACAAACACTCAGAAACCTGAAGGCATACGTGTCAAATCCATCGTTTCTCACAAAACCAAAGGATGGGGAAAGATTGCTCATCTATCTGGCTGTTTTAGAAGTAGCGGTGGGTGCTGTTCTAGTTCGTGAAGACCAAGGTAAATAGTCTCCAATTTATTATGTTAGAAAATCATTATTAGATGCGGAGACATGGTATCCTCAATTAGAAAAGTTCACACTTGCACTAATCATGGCGTCTAGAAAACTAAGGCCTTATTTTCAATGCCACCCTATTTCCGTAGTAACTGCTTATCCATTGCGTAATATATTACATAAATATGAGTTATCAGGTAGGTTAGCCAAGTGGGCCATAGAATTGAGTGAATACGATATCACATACCAACCTAGAACCGCAATAAAATCTCAGGTGTTAGCTGATGTTTTGGCTGATTTTAGCCACGGTATACAACTAGAAGCTGAAAAGGAACTACAAGTGTTAAATGGATCTAATCGAGGAACTTGGATCTTGTTTACTAATGGCTCATCTAATGTGAATGGGGCTGGTTTAGGAATTGTTTTGGTACCACCTACGGGTGAAACCATTCGACAAGCCATCAAATGCCATTCTATAACTAACAATGAGGCAGAGTATGAAGCTGTGATTGCAGGTTTAGAACTGGCACGTGAACTTGGTATTGATCAGATTGTAATAAAAAACGATTCGCAGCTCGTAGTTAATCAAATGCTGAAGACTTATATAGCCAGGGAAACACGAATGCAGTAGTACTTAGAGAAGGTACGAGATTTGATTAAGCAATTCCAAGCCTGGAAAGTTATGCGGATACCAAGAGATGAAATGTCGAAGAAGACGCCCTAGCCAATCTCGCATCTGCGACAGACGTGACGAGCAACAAAAATGCTTCCGTAATTTATTTGTTTCATTCAGTACTCGATCCAGACAAAAATAAGGTAAATTTCAATAACTTAACCTGGGATTGGAGGAACGAGATCGTTGCTTTTTTGAAGTATGGAACTGTCCTTGAAGACAAGAAAAAGGCTCACGCGCTTCGTAAAAAGGCTGCTCGGTATTGTTTAAAGCAAGACAATCTTTATCGAAAAATGTTCGGTGGTCCCTTAGCAAGATGCCTCGGGCCTTCTCAAACGGAATATGTAATGAGAGAAATACACGAGGGGCATTGTGGAAATCACACGAGAGGAAGATCACTGGTAAGAACCATGATTAGAGCAGGCTATTATTGGCCTAAAATGGAAGAAGAAGCAGAAAATTTCGTGGCTAAATGTGATAAATACCAAAGATACGGTAATAACATGCATAGACCTGCGGAGTTGCTACATTCGGTCATTGCACCGTGGCCTTTTATGAAATGAGGGATGGATATCATGGGTCCACTACCACAAGCAAAAGGAAAGGTAAAATTCTTGCTTGTACTCACTGACTACTTTACTAAATGGGTAGAAGTAGGAGACTTTATTTGGCAAAATATCATATGTCGATTCGGTGAACCAAAGGAAATCATGTGTAATAATGGTCCGCAATTTATAGGTACACAAATCACAGAATTTTTTCAAAGTTGGCAGATCAAAAAGATTACATCCACACCTTACCATCCGGTGGGTAATGGACAAGCTGAATCAACAAATAAAGTCATTGTCAACAATTTGAAGAAACGATTGGAAGAATCTAAAGGCAATTGGCCAGAATTGTTATCTGGTGTTTTATAGGCGTACCGCACGACAACAAAAACAAGTACGGGTGAAACACCATTCTCATTAGTATACGGAGCTGAAGCCTTAATTCCAGTTGAGATAGGGGAGCCAGGCACGAGAAACACGCAAGCGTCAGAAGAATCCAGTGAAGAAGAAATGCGCATAAACCTTGATTTACTTGAAGGAAAAAAGGGAAGCTGCACTAATAAGAATGGCAGCACAAAAACAAGTCATGGAATGATACTACAATCGAAAATCATGTCTAAGATACTTCAAGATTGGGGACTTCGTACTCAAGAACATTTTTCAATCCACGAAGGCGGCTAATGTGGGAAAATTAAGTCCAACCTGGGAAGGACCTTACAAGATTCATGGTATCGCGGGGAAAGGAGCATACGAGCTGGAAACAATAGATGACAAGATATTACCTTCACACTGGAATGTCGTTCACCTGAAGAGATACAATTTCTAAGGAGTAACCACGGTCAGGTATCTTCATTTTAAAATTTTATTTTTGAATTGTTAAAATTTTACTAACGATTTTAGATGATAGGCAAAAATCTAGCCCGTACTAAATGATGAATCACGATCTACAAGGCACATGGAATAGATTAAAATTCCCGGTCTAGGGATACAATTATTCTGATAGAAATTGAGACGGGTTAAGCAGTCTTCATCTATAATCGTATCTCTGAGTCCTGTATATTTTATTCCTTTACAGGAAAAGGACCAAATAAGAGGAGTTATGAAGTGTTCGAGACTTCATACTTCAAAGCTCAACACTTGGGGGACTATATAATATACATAGATATATATATGAAGAAGGCAAAGTTCAAGCCTGGAAAGTTTACTCATTGAATGAGTCAAGTGCAGAGCAAAGTTACGAGCTAAAGAAGCCAAAGAAAAACCTTATCATAGTTAGGTTAAAGGCAATGTAATGAAACGGGTTATAAATAAAAATCTGGTGTTTTATTTTCTTTTTTGAAATCTATTGTAAGGAAAACAGTTACAAAAAAGTTATAGAAGTTATTTAAATACATGTAAGGTGTTATTTAAAACTTGACAAAGTTCAAATAAAAACTTGTCAAAGTTATTTCAAAAAACATGTGTATTCCTATTTCTTTTGTCGCACATTAACACCATTATGAAGTTGAGACGTCTTCTTCATTAAGTGTCGAATATAAAAGGGCCCTCTTTTATAAAATTCATGATTGATTTAAACATTCATGGAGTTAAAAAAGCATTTTACAAAATAAAAGTACAAATTATTGAATAAGTCTTTAAATATAATGGCAAGACAGAAGTTCAAAAATAGTTACGAAAACTTCTTAACATTGAAAAGTTTAGACTAAGTATGAACTTAGTCATAAACTAAAGAGTTGCTTATACAAAACGCCCCGAAAAAGGTCTGGGGACGTGATGTTTTCAACAAACCCTCAAAAAGGACCAAGGGTTATAATCACATTCCACCAAAAAGAAAAAAAAAAGAAGTCACATATCATAAACTTGTCACTGAGGAGTTGAAGAAGGAATCGAAGCAGGGACATCAGCAGTAGCAGGCTCAACTTGACTTGAAGGAATTGGAGCACTCACCGAACCCATATCATCTTCGATATTTTCACAAGTTTTAGCCATGGGAGAGGGAAAGTCTTGGCTCTGTTGAGTCTTTTCAATGGTTTCTCTTATTTTAGCCAACTCAGATTCCAAATTAAAATTCTCTTGGCTAACTTCCACAAGGGTATCATGGCGAGTATTTAAAAATGCCCAACTCACTTCAATTACGGTTTTATCCTCAAGAATCTCGTAATCTTTCTCCCACTCAGCAATCTCACTTTTAAGCTTCTCATTCTCAACTAAGGCAGAATCATAAGAAGCTTGAAGAGAAGCATGTGAACTTTATAAGGAATGAACCTTATCAGAATATTCCCGGAGGTCTTCTTGAGTCTAGGTCAGAGTTTGCACAAGTTCACCGACATACGCTTCTTTCTCACTTAAAAGAGCCTTCAACTCTCTGATTTCTTCACTAGACTTGGAGAGTTGCTCAGAAAAAGAAGTTTCGAGAAGATTCTTGTCTTTACCAGCTTGATTTGAGGAAGCTTTTTCAACCGCCAATTCCGAAGTTAAAACCCTCAACTGATGCTCTAAGGTGCACTTGTTCTCTTCTAACGTTTCCATATCAATTTGAAGGCTTTCATATTGTTCTATGGAGTTATCTGCTTCAACTTGATACTCATGCATTAATTGCTCCATGTGTGAAACCCTCTTCATCATTTCTGTATCAACGAGGTTGATCTAAAAAAAAGAGAAAAGGGTAAGAACCTTAATAAAAAGGGAATAAGTAAATCATTACAAGGAATACCTTTAATGATGATTGTATTATGTCGTTCATCCAAGTTAAAGAGTTGTGGCTCTCAAGCTTGACTCTCTCGATTGGACCAATTAGGGGTTTCAACCACACGTCATCCCCACCTGACTTTCTCAAAAGATTACCATCGACAGGGACCTCGATGATAACCTGTTTCATGGCACCACTTCCACTCGAGGGACCAACCTCAGTTTGTTGAACAATTGTAGGAGGAACTATGGAAGGAGTCAAAATAGCCTGGGGAAGAGCAGCAATGGCAACAGTCATGACTAGCAAAGAAAGTATTACATGAGTGGTTATAGAAAAAGAAGCAAGGGGTGCTTTATCAGAAACTGGTCCTAAACTTTCACTACCAAACCCGCGGGCAAAAAGCTATTCAGCAGAATCATGAACAGCAGCGGGAGTATCATCATCAGAAATCACTAACGAGGCTTCAATAGGCTCAGTAGGAGGAATAGAATGAGGAAGAGATGCTTCATCATCTGAAATAATTCGTCTTCTAGCCCGTGGCCTTTTTATCAAAGAACCCCCGTCTTGTTCTTCTTCCTTCTCAGAGTCTTGTTCAACAATAGCTTTCCTATTCGATGAGGAACTCAAAATTATCTCTTGGGCCCTATCCAAAGAAATTCTGGAAGCTGCGACGGCTTCAGCACTTATGCCTCGAATAGGAAATCCTGACAAAAAGAAGGATCAAAATAATTTCTGGTGGAAGCAATAAGTAAAATTAAAAAAAAACTCTTACCGTGAGTTTTCACTTTCCAACTAAATCGATGAGAGAGGTTTTTCCAAGACCTACCGTCCATTGGAGCAACACTTAATAACTTTCTTACCCAACCACGGAAGTTGGGAATTTCATCAACAGCTCCCATGGATGCTGAAAAAGAAAAAGGGAATTAAATGATGATCATCAAAATTGAGAAAAAGGTACGAGAAAGTTATTAAAAAGAAAACTCACGTGCAAAATTCCACTTCTCAGGAAAGGGAACATTTCCATCACCTACTAAACCAACAGTGGGGGCAGCAATAAACCTGGCGTACTAGCCACGGTCTCTATTATCTTCAAGACTGACTAGAACTCTTTTGCTCCTTGCCACTAGAGTAAATACTCTTTGGCGAAAGATTTTGGGAGAATAGAGATGGATTAAATGAAAAAATGTAAAAGGTATACCAGCCATGTTGGCCAAATGCCTCAAACAAGTAACAACCCTCCATACAATAGGGCCGATTTGTCCTAAACAAACGTTGAAAAAGTGATAGAACTCGAGGATAACAGGGTCAATAGTAGGTTTGAAACCCAACGTGAAAGGATATGTATAAACAAAAGAAAACCTAGTTAAATAAGAGGTGATTATTTAGTTCACATTGGTATTATAATGGGGAAGTCATGGCTCCAATGGCAATCTCCACGCACTATAGAAATCAAACCTTCAGTAATCTGAGTCGGGAAGATGTCAGCACGATCTAATGAAGACAGTTGGTTTCTGGTGGATTCTCTATCATTGTAGAAGGATAGTTCCGCAGGAACAATTTCATCCACTAAAGGTTCACGAAGAGGTTCAATGGGTTCTTTAGTCCTAGATGAAGATCTTTGAGAAAGTGAACCCCTAGTTTTGGGAGGTGGAGTAGAACTCGATGAAGGAATAGAGGAGCCTTGTGATGAAGAAGACCCTAAACTACGAATCCTTCCTCCTCTTCTACTTCTAATAGGAGCAAGAGAAAGGTTGTGAATAATGGGGACCCTCCGAGGGTCAGGGTTTGAAGAAGACATAGTAGTATGAGGAAGAAGAAAATTACAATTGAATACTCTAAACTTTTGTGAAAAAGACAAAGGTAAAAAGTTATATTTATAGTGAGAAGCAACCGTCAAAGGAAAAGGCGCAATGATGGAAACATCATAATGAGAGCTGTCGCTTCGTAATTGATGAAGCCGTAAAAAAGCCTTAAAAGGCGCTGAAGGGTTGCAGAACCGACTAGGAGACGCCACGTGTTATGGACATTAAATGGAAGAGACTAGATGAAGCATCAGTTCCAAAGAAGAATTAATGGCGGCAAATATTCCCACTTTAATATGGTCCATTTCCCAAATATTCTATTGATGAATAAATGGCAAGTGGGGGGACAATCAATATTGGGAAAAATTAAGCTTATTTATGGAATTCATTATAAGATGACACGTCATAACATGTGGACCAGTCAAAGAAGGATGGGTGATGAAGAATAATCAAAGAGGCACGAGCTTCAACAGGCACGGGCAGATGTTCAGAGAAAAAGCAAGGAAGATAGGTGCTCGAACCTCTTTATGATGGAAGGGAATGAATCTGATAGTAAATAAGGTATAGATACGTAATATTAGGCATTAAATACGGAAAACATTAAGGAATGTGTATTGAATCAAATATGACTGATTGTAACGTTACATTAAATGTCATTAAATGCCATTAATTGACAATAATGGCTCAATTATGGTAGAGAAAAAACGTATTACCTAGAAATAGCTATAAAATGAGAAGACTGATCAATTGTAAGGACACGAAATACTATTGGAATACATTGATTTACTTTGCATACAATTATTATTTCTCAATTATTCCTATTTCAATTTGATTATCAGTAACCCGAGTTTTTCTAATATAAGCTTTGACGAAAGTCCTTATTTTTGGTTAAACAGCTACATCATACCCCCTTGGATGATGTTTTTCCCCGGACCCTACATGAATGCGGAATATTTCGTGCATGTTCTGCAGTTTTTTATTGTCTTTTATCGACAATTGTAGGTGTAATGCCAAAAGTACCCTCAGTAACACTTATAAGTATGTTCATTCTTTATTTATATTTGGACCAAAATCGCTTACTTAGTTTAATTAAGGGTAAGATTTTGCAGTGAAATAGCACATGAATTATCCGAATAAGAAAATTATTTAAGGAACAAAACACAAAATGATAAAGAAAGGGTCACATGGTTATCGATATTCTTATTTATAACGTTAGACGAGTTGTCTGTTTTGCTTTGTCCTACTCATAAATCTGATGTAAAAACCATAGTCAGACACACGGGCATAAATTTTCTTAGTAACCACATTAGAAACTATTTGTCCATATTGCTTCGTCCTACAGAACATAAATAGTTCTTCCAAAATTAGTAAGAACAAGGCACATAGCCATGAATATTTTTGGTAACCACGTTAAAGATGATTCGTCCACATTTCTTTGTCCTACAATACATAAATCTGCTCAAAGTTATGGCACAACTTTCGGGTGTATTATAGGCCTGAGGAGCCCTTCATTAAATTTTACTCCTACCTCATAAGGCAAAGATAAGTAGCTAAACTCGAATCCAGGTTAATATCTGTTTTTACATGTTCTTTCATCGGAAAAACGGATTAAATAACTGCTGATAATTTAATCTTAGAAAAAGATTCTTGAAACTCTTTGAATGCAGACTGCTATAATTAGTTAGTTTAATCACATGTACCTACAATGTGGTTGATGTTGTAACATGGACCTATAATATATAAAGAAATCCCAAGTATGGTATACAATTTAATGAAGCTGCTCAAAATGGTTTCTTGAAGTTCCTTTTACTGGCTACTAAAATTGATTATCGAAAGAAGAATGATTGATTACGATCACATGCGGCATGGTTATACTTTAAAGGATTTATTTATTAATTCCTTAAAATAATCTGCGAACAAAACTAGAACAAAATCATGCCTAAAATAGTCAAGATTTCAGATATGAATCAAGCTCTGTATCTCCTCCAACGGAGGATTCAGTAGCTTCTAGAAAGAGGAGTTCGTCGAGAGAGAAGGAGAACTACTGAGAATCTTTTAATTTGTGAAATAAAAACTTTACTTCAATGTATTAGGTACTGTTTAATATATACATGTTACATCCACTAACTGACTAATTTGTAAACTAACACTAACTAATGCTGACTCGACGTAACTACAAGAAGATAAATACAATTATAGTCTTAATACACTCCCCCTTCAAGTTGGATGTGAGGAGATCACACCCAATTTTCCAAGAACAGAGCAATGCTTAATCCCAGTGAGAGCTTTGCTAAGCACATCTACAAGCTGCTGTCCAATACCAATGTGCTGCAAAGAAATGAGACCTTCCTAAAGCTTGGTACGCACGGAATGACAGTGTACTTCAATATGCTAGTTCTTTCATGGAACACAGGGTTCCTAGCAATATGCAGAGCAGAGAGGCTATCACAGTGCACATGTATTGGTAAACAAAATGTCACAGTGAGTTCTTCAAGCAGTCTTGATAGCCAAATAAGTTCACCAGCAACTTTTCCAAGGGCTTTGTATTCTGCTTCTGCTGAGGAGAGGGATATGGTTTCCAGCTGATGGGGCTGCCACCTAAGAACACAACATAACCAGATACTGATCTTCTAGAATAAGGGCAAGCTGCCCAATCAGAGTCACAATAAGCAACCAGTAAAAGATTATCTTCATTGCTGAAATATAGACCCAGAGTAGGATCCTTCTTCAGATACCTCAGCATATGATAGGCTGCCTGTAAGTGGGGCTCCCTAGAATCTTGCATAAACTGGCTGAGATGTTGGACCCCATATGCTATATCTAGTCTAGTATTAGTAAGGAAGTTTAATTTTTCAACCAATTTTCTGTAGAAGGTAGGATCAGACAATGGAGCACCCTCTTTTGTTTTCAGCTTTACTGTAGGATCAATGGGAGAAGTCAAGGTTGGAGAATGGAGACTCTCATATTCTTTCAACAAGTCTGACTCTCATGTTGGACCCCATTTGAGAATGCCATCTGATTTGTAAAGAATTTCCAGTCCTAGGAAGTAATGTAACTGCCCAAAGTCTTTAATTTTGAACTTGTCTTGTGAGAAGGCCTTGAGCTGATTGATTTCTTCAGAGTCAGTCCATATGAGCAACATATCATCTACATATACTACTACAAAGACAATGGAGGAACCTTATTTTTTGTGAAATAAAGAATAGTCATACATGGAATGAGTGTACCCCCTTGAGTACAGGACTTTAGTCAACTTATCATACCATTGTCTGCTTGCCTGTTTCAGTCCATAAAGGGACTTGTTCAACCTACAAACTAACCCTGGAGAGTGTATTTCAAGACCTGGAGGAGCTTGCATATACACCTCCTCATGTAAATCTCCATGGAGAAATGTACTGTTCACATCCAGTTGTGAGATTTCCCATTTTTCCTTTGCCGCTATATCAATGAGGGACCTGACAATGGTCATCTTGACTACTGATGAAAAGGTCTCTGTGTAATATGTACCAACTTGTTGAGTATACCCCTTAACAACTAATCTTGCTTTGTGTTTTTCTACTCTGTTATCTGCTCTATGTTTTACTTTATACACCTATCTACACCCAATCCTATTTTCCTTTAGGTAAGGGAACTAGATCCCATGTGTTATTAGCATACAAGGCTTCAAACTCCCGTGTCATGGCACTTTGACAAGCAGGGTACATAGCTGCTTCTTCATATGAAGTTGGTTCTCTATCATTGTAGATGTTCTTTACAATGTGCTGACTATCAAGATGTAGGGCATCAGAAGTAATATATTTATTATGGGAAAACATGGCATGTAGGGAGAAGTTAGAGTTAGATTTTAGGTTTGGTATATTGCAATCATAATCATTCAGATGTGAAGAGAGTTTGTGTTCCCTATGAGATCTTCTAAAACTCAATGGTTCCTCTATTGATTGTTGAGGTGAAGTCTTGTCTTGAAAGTGTTCAATTGGAACCTGTGTCTCATGTGAGGAAGATATATGTAAGGAGGTGACAAGTGATGCATCAGAATTTGGGAAATTGGTGTTCTCCCGATCACTAATGCTGTGAGCTATACAAGTATCAGCGTGATCAGGTGGATTGTTAGTGAGTGGTGCATTATGGAAGGTAGGTGGAATGTTATTTACAGTAGAATTGAAAGTTAAAGGAAAAATTAACTCATAGAAGGAAACATCTCTAGGGATATGTATTTTCTTAGTGGCCAGACTTAGCACCTTATATCCCTTTGTGCCAAAAATATCATACAAACACATGTGGGGTAGTTCTTGGTTCAAGTTTGTCTCTAAGAGGCTTTGGTACAGTAGGGTACACAAACACCCAAAACTCCTCAAGTAAGAGCAATTGGGCTTCTTTTTATACAAGAGTTCAAAAGGGCATTTGTTCTTTAGAGGAGTAGTTGGGAGTATGTTAATGAGGAAGGTTGTTGTAAGTATACATTCTCCCCAATATTTCAATGGTAACTTAGATTGAAAAAGTAGTTCCCTGGCCACTTCACGGAGATATTTATATTTTCTCTCCACTACTTTATTTTGTTGTGGTGTGTAAGGGCATGTCTTCTAGTGGTTTATTCCCTTTGATTGAAAAAAGAGGTTGCCTTATTGCTAGTAAACTCTAGACCATTGTCATACCTTATACATTTAATGGTGGTTTGGAATTTGTTCTCTACCATATTTACAAAAGCCTTTATGACTTATAAGGCAACGCTTTTGCAACTCAAGAGATGTGTCCAAGTGGACCTACTATAATCATCTACTACGGTAAGGAAGTATTTGAAGTTATTATGTGTGGACACATGATAGGGACCCCACAGATCCACGTGGAGTATTTCAAAAATTTTAGTAGTGTCAGTTGTTCTCTAGGGAAAGGGAAGCCTTGCTTATCCGGACATAGGGCAAATGTTGCACATAAAAGGTTGTTTGGCAGAAAAGGTTGCAGGTATAGTAGGAATCCCTTTCATTTTATTGAATGGTACATGACCAAGTCTGAAATGCCACAACATATCTACATTATCACTAATAGATGAACTAGAATACAAACCAGAAATACTGTCTTTATTATTGCAAATAGAATTATTTACAATAGGAAATGGACTGTAGGAATGAGATATACAGTGTATAGTATTCTCATCATTAGCATGAACAGAAAAATAAGGAAGATCACAATTTTATTCAGGTGTAAGACTACCTTTCTTCTGGCACTTAGAACAGAGGAAGTACAACCCATCATACTACTTACCAATCTCCAGAGGCATTTTCAGTGAAGGGGCGTGCAGTAGACAGGAAGTGTCAGAGAATGATGCAATGTATTTGAGATATACTGCTAGGGAACTGATTGACACTAGATTAAACTTAAAGAATGGAATGAACAAGACTTTGTACAGAATAATTTTAGGTGTTAGGGATACATCTCCAATTTCAGTTACTTTAACTTTGAAACCATTTGGAAGTTTAATTAACAGAGGATATGGTAGGCTTACTATGTTTTGTAGGTGAGTTTTGTTAAGTCATATGGTGTGATGCCCTAGAATCTAATATGCATAAGTCAGCTTTTGCACTAAAATATTTGCATGATGGATTATCAAAATCAATTGAAGAAGTGCAAGCAGTCATACCTGCAAAGTTCATAGAGGCTCCACTAGACAAGTTTGCACTGACTGTATTCTCATTGTTTCCCATATGAAAATGTTGTAGCAAGCTGACAATTTGGCCATACTGCTCATTTGAAAGGCTCATGCTTTGATTTTCTCCTTGGTGTTCCACCTCCTCTCCTCTTTCTATGTTTGTAACTATATTTGCCATGTCATTTTTTCCTTTGTTGAACCTTGTATTGTTATTGTATCCTTGAGAACTCTGTTTGTATTATTGTGGCCCTTGATTAAAACCCTGAGGGTATCCATGTAGCTTGTAGCACTTGTCTTTGGTGTGACCTTGTCGTTTACAATAGTCACAAAAGGGTCGAGGTCTGCTATTTGCAATTTGATTTCTAGTTCTAGTTGTGTAATTTGTCTTGAAGGTTCTTCCTCCTAGACTGACATTCAATGCCGTGGAGTCAACATTTAGTTGATTTTTTGGCCTAAATTCCTTCTGCTTTTCCTACTGTATCAGAAGGGCAAATGCCTGTGCCATGGACGACAAATGATTCATCATGAGTATGCTTCCTCGAACAACCGTATAGACTTCATTGAGTCCCATTAGAAATTGTTTAAACTTTCTATATTGCTCTACCTTATGCATTCTTTCCTTCGCCCCACAGGTACACACACAACTTCAATGAGTTTTGATGCTAAGAGTGTTCAATAACTCCCAGAGTTTCTTCATTTTTGTGTAGCCAGTGATATCAAGCACTTCCCGACTCAAATCATCAATTTCTTTCTGAATTTGATACATTTTAGCTCTATTAGTCTGATCATATCGATCTTCCAGTTCCTTCCACAGCTCAATAGAGTCATTTACATAGTCAACACTATCAGCGATGTCCTTAGACAGAGAATTTAAGATCCACGAGGTGACCATATCGTCACACCTTTCTCACTGACAAAAATATGGACACGTTACATCGGGTCTTTTACTATCCCCGTTGGTAAAACCTAATTTGTTTTTCACTGAAAGGGCTCTCAGTACGCTTCTTCTCTAGGAACGATATCCAATTCCATCAAATGAAACCAAAACTAGTGTGTAACCAGGACTATTAGAAGGATATATGTAAAGAGGGCTAGTAACGCTGATTACCATCTGTGTTGTCGCTATTGTGGTTGTCTTCAGTCTGCTCTGTGATTGCCATCAAAATTATGTGAAAATAGTTGAATAGTTCTTTGTGTGGCTGAGATTTCTTCGATTTGTCAATAAATCGTCACTGCATGTGTCCGATCCTGTCATGACCCAAACCGATGGGCCACGATGGGCGCCTGAGTCTTACCTGTCAAACACCCCTAA